ACAGTCACTTTAATTTCTTCGATGCACGGGAATAATATAAACTCGTCCGCGCGCGGCAACACCCTGAACTCAGTTCTTTCCTAACTTTTCGTACGCTGACTTGATACTTTCCGGAACACGTTCGTGTTCACATTTCCAACCCAATCCCGCTTTCGGCTGCTGCCATCTTTGTCTCTGTCCTGCACCTTCTTCTCTTGTGCGCGGAGTGGCGTGGCATCCTGGGACGCACCAGTCACTGCAGCGCGTCGCAATGGGCGTCAATCATGAGGCCAAAACTTTTCCATGACGTCACAAATACGGGTTACCATAATAAATAACGCACGGGCCCGTAGTAACAAGAAATATAACGAGAAACTACATAGATTTAAAGAAACAGTAAAATTACCCTGTTTTCATGACCGTGAACTGTATTATTGCTTACACTATCTTAGATATGTGTGGTGGATTAACCAATAACAAAGACGTTTGTCTAGTGCCAAAATCTGAGCTAGTCAGCAGGTTTTTTTTTTTGATGAAAAGAAAAATGTATCTTCGGAAATTGACGTGTGTGTAGTTTCAGTGACACAGGAGTAAAATTAACTCGCATTCACTACATGAATAACCTCTTGTTGACGGCTAATGGCTGTTTTAACTCCCGGCTTTAACTATGCTGACATAATATATACAATATGATATTATTATCTATCAACTCTGCTGAAAAAAATATAAAAAAACACTTTTTACCGTTTGCAGTTAACTGCAATAGTTGTGGGTGTCTATGTAATAAGGATGACTAATTGTGAATGAATTGTAATTATTGATTATGTTTAGGAACTGTGCTACACAGCGCCGCTAACACTGGAGTTGGGTAAACTGGATACACTGGAAAGGGAGAGAGTTCTTCATTATAATTTCTACACTGGTATGTTTCGCCCAATTGGGTATCATTTTTACTCCAGTTGGTATAGGAGTGCGTATCAATTTTGACACTTTTATGGTGCAGAATTTGGTTGGATTTTTTTAACTCTTGAGGAAAACGCTTGAGAGCTGTTATTCAAGGCCGTCTCTTACAGTATTAGGTTTTCCAACAGATTGCGCCGTACGTACTTTGCATTATTACCTGTTCTGCGTGTATTATATGACATCATCGTGTGGTAATGCGCATGTTTGTTTTTTCGATCAGACTTGACTAGAAGTGGGTAATTACTAAAAGCAATGGCCATGAAGCGGTTGGGGTCAAAATAATTGGACGACACACATCTATCTATTATTATTGAAGAACCACCGCTTGGGTACAATTATTATACAGCATTAGGGCGCTGTACCCGCAAAAACCATGGACACAATCACGTAATGCCCTATTTGTTGAACACCGCTCTCAGCGTTGAATGTGGGCAACGTTGGAGCACACAAACTCAAAATCTGATTTCACTAAGACGCCTCAGTCTAGTGTCAATATAATATATTCATGGATGTTCTGAATGCTTGACCTTAGTCTGTAATGAATTGAATACGGCGTGAATGACGGTTATATAATATGCACATTTCTGATTGTGTGGGTTAATGTGTACATTCATCATATTCATATTTATATTTTTATGTCGATTCTTGTCATTTTCTGTCATTGGGGGTAACACACGTTGCTTCCTAGTATCCGGTCGTGACAGGAAAATGTTTAGGGTTCGTCCGGGTGCTGTAAAATTAGCAAAATTCATAATTAAACTTTATATATTTACAACGTGCAAACACCCTGTCGTTGGTCAATTCGAAAGGGGCGAATTACACTTTTGAAAAACTAAAACAGTCAATAATGGTAGAGGAGTTTAAAATCGCGTCCGAGATAATATTAAAACGTAATTAGATGAGCAAGATACTTTACAGAGGGTAGCTGCCATTGCTGACGACTACCCTTTGACTCACAAGTCTAACTTTTATGGAAATAAACGCCAGTAGTGAATATAATGGTAGAAGTATACAGTAAGGGACAATAATAAAACCAGTTAATATTTTGGGGTTTTATAGTCGGAAAATAGTTTTCCTGATCCTATGCTCTACTTGCAAATTTTGTAAAAAACAGGGTCTCATATCATGTCTGACTGCTATACGTGGAAAAGAAAGAGTTGGGCAACACCAAATAATTTTGTTTCACGTCGGTCGAACTCGAGGTCATGTTGGAACACACAAACTCAAAATCCGATTTCGCCGAGACGCGCCCTCAACGGTGGATTGAATCAAGTCTTCAAAACCCTTGACAAAAATTGTCTGTTTGTGAAATGTGACTTGATTCGAATATATGTCACATGCTGGAGTTATGTTATTAATGTGCGAAGCATTGTTGTTACATTTACATTGTTGTTTTAAAACCAAATTGCTCATGTTTTATGCATATTTTTGCAAAATATACATATTATTTGCATTATGTGTATTCCACTTTCAGTAGTGATTCAAATTTTGCATATTTGGGTTATCCAAAACTTGTTCCTGTTAAATTATGCTAAATGCAAAATTCACTATTGGGGAGCTGTGACATAATAACATTAGGTATCCCGTAATATTGATATTTAATAAATTCAAGATGATATGCAGCTATAACCTGTGCGATTATTAAGACAAATATTAAAAAAAAAACAATCAGTTCAATTAGAAGATCTGGAATGGATCTTTGTTCAGATCCTGAACATTTGTCGTTTCCATGGGAACTACGTAGTTTCAGGGCTTTATCCCACCGATGTGTGACTATAATAGATCAATGTTATGTATTGATTGTCAACTACTATTTGTTCTTAAAAAACCTCCACACTTCGTTCCACAATATAAAAATAATGTAATAAACCAATCACAAATATTTCCTAGAACGGCTTAGTATTGTAAAGAGAAACTTAAGTTTTAACAAATAAGCAAATAAAATGCAAAACAAAATTCAAATCGAAAATAGCTACTTTTAATTCCCCCCCCCCAAAAAAAAAACAAACAAACAAAAAAACAACGAGGCAAGCCAAACTACGTGACTTTGGTAAATTATTTTTTACAGGGTAGACTGTGCTAGTAGGGAAGTTGAAAAATTCCTTTTTTTGAAGAGTATATTTTAAGTAATTCGCCAATTTCTGTCAATTCACGATGTCCGCCGAACCGTGGAATTTTTACCGCCACCAATAGTAGTGAGAGGGATTCTAGTTTTTAGAAACATAAATTCGCCACGTGTAATTGAAATTTGTTATTACTATGGAAATAGGCCCACTGTCAATCAGTTTTGACTACAGTTGTTTGCTGAATATTGGCACTCGCTGGATCTGGTCCAGTCTGATATCGATGCTTACGTTTGAAAGTCAGTATGCAAATGAGATTTCTGGCATAAATAATTTGATATTGGTTGTGTAATTTTGTATTGGTTGTGTCATTGTCTCACTCCGTGAAATGTTGTTTTCATTCAAAGTGATCGACAGATGCATATGTATGGATCGGATGAGAAATCACTAGATCGCTCGATGACTGTCTTTGAATATTTAATGATGGATTGAGTTTTAGCGGAATTTGTAGGTGTGGGCTGTTTCTTAATACGGGATTCGCTCAATTGTGACAAGTTTGATATGTTAGAACACATAGATTGATTGATTCATTGTCATTAAATAGTAAGGTAAAGCTAACATGTAATGGAATGTTGTCAGGCAACTCTTGGTTTATTTCTGTAAGGGCAATGAATAGAATCTGTGCTATGCTGGTTTTCGAATTGCTTTGCCGTGATTGATTTGGTCTCACTTCATCAGGTACTGAATCAATCCTAATTTGCTAGGAGAAATGTCGTTGTTGGTGTCTCTTTGCTTGCATCATTTATGTGTTTTTGATGGTTAGTGCAACTGTCAGGCTTATTTCATCTACTAATGCTTGATTGTTCTTACAAATAATCATTGACATGTTCATTTGCGAAGCTGCATAATAATAGAACAACTGGACAATGACTGTTTGCAGGACAAGCATAAATACCTTTGCAGAAAGAAGTTAAAACATAAACACGATATCAGTAAAAGTAGCAAATTGCAAAAGCAATTCAACACACCTCCATCCTCAAGAAGTAAAATAAAGATATAAATAGGCTTTTAAGCCTTGAAATCCTAATTATCAGAAAAAGCAATAGGCTTCTGCGCGATACATACATTTTGCTCACGATGGTGCTACCCAATCTTATTAATAAAGTTAGACACATATCAAAAAAGGGACAAACTGTTCAATACTTGATTTGCTTAACATGTATTTTTTTGTGTAAACTCATAGCGAACAGAGTTTAATTGTGTAATAGGTCGTATTAGTTCGATTGTTACTACAAGCATGTTATGAATTGAGGCAAGTTAAGTCGTTTAGATATGAATGAGAATTTGTTGTTTCAGAGTATGTAAAACAAGCGAACCTGACTTTAATAACATTATTTATATTACATTCTAATTTATAATCTGTAAATATATAATTATATTGAATACAATAGGGGCATTTAATTTTGTGATGCAGTAATGTAACAGTGCAATATCATCGTATGCTGGGTGCAACAACAGTGGAATGTTCGTATAATCTTACTTTGGTTGCAGCAATAAAGGTTTATTCGTATAATCTTTTCTCGGGCGCAACACAAATCTTTTCCATTAGATATTCGATCACATTGCAAAAATATCTTAGATATTTATTGGTTTACGATATTGCAGCTCACAACTTTAAAAAATGGCTTGTAGTGAAAGAAAAATGGCTTTAATCACCGGTTCAACATCAAAGGAAGGTATTGGTTGCGCAATTGCAAAAACGTTAGCGAGAGACGGATACGATATTATTCTACATGGAAGACGAGATGAGGATGAAATAACTTCTCTCAGAAAAGACATAGAAAAGTAATATGCTCTCACACATTTTTATCACTACAAGCAGTCACATTTGATGACTGGGAAGATATGTTCTTCATTATTGTTTTTTTATGTATCGTTAATTATGGTCATAACAATCACGATTGCAAATACGTATTACTTTTGCATGCTCCTGAAATGGTATCAAGGGAGTTCGAAGTGAACGCTTTTTACCTAAAAGCTGACTTAATGATTCGGGCAGAGATTGAACAACTTTGCAAACGTATTGAAGAAATTCATCCAGGGGGTGTCGATGTTCTAGTCAACAATGCAGGTAAGAAAATAAGTAAGAAGGTAAGCAAGCAGAGCAATAACGAGGTAACCACAACATTGAGCTGTAGTATAGCTTTTTACATTTGATAAGAATAATGTTTTACTCAAATGCTGATATAATCTTGATCATTTACTTGATTAATAATGTTTTGATATTATATATAACGAGTACTGCTCAACTTTGCGGGATTACTACTACTACTAAAAATATGTGCAAGGGAATTTATGCTAATGTTGTTAATGAGGCTATGACGTTGGCATATATCATGAATATTATTTGAATTTGCCAATAGTAATCAAATGGACATAAACATTACTGGCTAAACTGGTCACTAAATGCATAAATTATCTTGTCTTTATACAAGTAAAATATATATGTGAAAAATATGAAACTACATATCTGCCTGAGACAACACTAGACGATATATAACAATATCTTGGACTTGTATTGACATTTATTCGAACAGCTTACACGATGAAAACAGAAAGTCTGTAAATACATATGTTGTGTTTTATTTGATAATTAGGTTGGCCAGGGATGCCGGGAGCTATGGAGGATTATTCTGTTGTAATTTGGGATGATGTGATTAAAGTCAATTTAACAGCACCATTTGACCTGATACGTCTAACTATTGGAGACATGAAAAAAAGAGGCATGTCAATTGTATATGAATTGTTGTTTAGAGCGCGTGGCTCTTGCCTGTTGAAATTACAAAACATTACTGAACAACATGTTAGAAGTACTGCCTTCTGTGAATTTAATCACCAGATTACAGAATTTAGTGTTGGCCTCATTTCACTTTTCTTCTTTTTTCAAAGTCCCATAATCCAGGTCGCACTCATAAAACCGGCCTTCATTATATCATTTTTGTTATTTTATAATGTTAATTAGTATCAGTTAATATTAGTATCAATGCATTATGATTTATTACTTGTATTTTTGTATTACTAGCATGGATACAACAGACACAAGAAACAGCAAATGAAAGTAAACAATAAATACAAAATACATAAACGAGTAATATATGTTTTTATGTAGGTTGGGGCCGTATCATCAATATCCCTTCAATATACAGTAAAAAAAACTGTCACGACCCATCCAGATATGTCTGTGCGAAGCATGGTCTCAATGGATTAACAAAGGTACATCAAATTCGAGACTGCACTATATTTTACACAATATAGGATTTGAAATAAATCTTCTGTTTATGTCATTCTAATAAAAACTTGAAAAATAGGTGATAAAACAACTGACATGGAGTTAGTGTTGCCAATGTGCTTGTAATGTGACTCATGTTATATACGTTATTTTGAAACAAAACTGGTTTATATTCAATTACACATATTTTTTCTAGACAGTTGCAAACGATACATTTGGCACTGGTGCGACATGTAATGCTATATGCCCAGCTGCTGTCGAGACTCAAAGTGAGTGAATATTTTATAATAGTTTAGTTCTAAAATGTATCAATGGCATTTGGGTTGTGAATGTATAACAAGCCACACTAGCACTAACACATATACATGTTTCTCTATATGAGAAATGTAGGGATGCATTAGAGAGTATGTCCAGCGACGCGTGAAGCAATTTGCCTAACATTTCAAAATGTATGCTTATGTTTTAGTTGTTATTGCAGCGATCAAACAACGGGCAGAAACAATGGGTCTAACGTATGATGCAGTATCAGTAAGATAAGTTATGCTATAATGAATACAATATAAAAAACAACTGGCATTTAGAACATGTTAAATTGTGTTGTGGAATATACAACATGTATGCTATTGAAATCTCTCAGTTATGGTTTACTACGTACTGTAAAACAATTCAATATCGCAACCGCATTTGTTTACTTATCAATATTATATGCTACATGTATTTGAAAATTGTTTTCACAGAAACAAATCTTAGAGAAAACCAATCCAAATGGGCAGTACATAAAACATGAACAGGTAACCATTGAATATTAAATGTTGTCTTAATTCTGTGTGGATGAACCTCATTTTATAGTCCAATGGATACCAATTATACTGTTCTTCAAGCAGGATTATGCCATGATGCCCGGTGATATTAACTTAAACCAAAAGGCAGACAATTCGAATGGATCATATAGATAAGTTAACCATGTATGCCGTATGTTTATAGAGTACATTCCATATTTTGAACATTCCACTATATATAACATTGTTTGTATACCGTATTTACAGATTGCCGAACTTGCAGTTTTTCTGTGCTCCCCCTGTGCGGATCAAATGACTGGTGCCATTATTCCTATTGATGGGGGTAGCTGGGCGACATAGTAATTTAGCATTTGTATATATAATAAGCTTGTAAAATGGATTTTCAACAAACTGTATTTTTATTAAACGATTTTGTCTTAATGGCAGGTTGACGTTTACCTGCCCATCTAACAAGACTGAGGGTTTGATTGATTAAAGTAATCCATTTCAACAGGGGTGTGCGATAGGAAAGACAAAACATATCACAGAATCATAATCATAAAACATATTTATTAATAAGCAGGTTTTGGTCACTAAGACTGGTATCCACATTCATAGATGATTGACGTGCCTTTTATATTCTACTCCATTGTTAACACAGAAGTATAACAACATAAAGCTCACATCTGTACATACAGTTCGGCAACTATATACATAAATATAATGGCATAGAAAAAATACATATTTTGGGTAGTGAACAAAATGGTATTTATTGAGATGATTGACCTGTGTAACATATGTATGATGGATCTTAGAATTAGTCACTTTGAAAAGCTCATAACAATGCATTTATGACGCAGTTTACTGGGATTATCGAGTTTTGTAATTGAATAGAATTGTTAAAAATAAATTTATCATATTATTTAAGTTTCAAATGACAATATCACACGCACATTCCAGTGTGCTGCAAAATTGTAATCTTCTATTTTCCTATGCGTGAATTCGAGGAGCATCGACACTTCCTTATTTAATGAAATGATGTGAGATGCGTCACATTATATTAAATGACAATGATTGATAACTTGTATATAGAAGGGGTCTTGTGTCTCGTGGAATAAATTATACTTTCAAATGGAACAATCATCTCTTATCGACATCAACTACATGGCGCAAACACTGTTCTTCTAAATGGGAATTATAATAACTATTTCATAGACAAAATAAACCAAGTCTGTTAAATGCTTGGGTATGTACTATCATTGACGTCATTTTAACCCCAGCCATACTGCAAACAAGACAGCATTTGATTAAAAATGTACAACATATTATCTGGTGTGCACCCTCTTAACACTTTTCTGTGATGTTAAACACTTTTATGTGATGTTATTATATCATCTCATATGCAGACTAAACTTTGTAAATTATACCAGTACGCCATCACAGTGGTTAGATATATAAATAGGTATAATGAATCTTCAACAATTAATTATACTTATAACAATGTTGTAAAAAGTAATGCAAATGTCGATGTGTACCTTATCGCAATCGGGCAAAAGACCGCGAGGAGATATGCGACTTCAAATAGAATAACCTAAAATATACAATGTGGATACAAAAAAATGTTATTTACTAATCCAAACATCGGCGAAGTCAAACTTTTTGTCAGTTGGAGGAGCCGCCAACAAATATAGACAAATATAGAATATTCAAAACTGTTATAAAGATTGGAATAATGCTTTGAGCCAAATGGGCACGCCGACATATTTTGATACAATTCGACTGCAGCTGATGAAATAAACTGGAGATTTGGATTAGCGCATTATGACCTTTCATGACATATTTAGTGTCAAATGTGTCAAATGACAGGAAATGTGCCAGTTTTAATATTCACACACTTACTGCAATTTTAAGAAAGAGTGACATAATGAAATATATAAGTGTACAGAGTTTGTTATTTTGAATTAATTACGACTACTGTAAATATCTATATATCTATCTTTCTCTGGCTGATTCTGAAGTAGTTGATGTCTGACAATATAACTGTTTTCTGTGGTGTTACCTGAGTGTTTTAATGACACTACACTCTTTGCTAGACAACGCCTAACTACACAGTATGCATAATGTACTTTTTAATGTAGTGGGAATAGGTGTTTTTATACGGACATATTTGTAAGGGTAACACATGACATGAAATGCAGTAGACAACAAATATTAATTAAAACAATTGGTCCTGAAAGGACGATAAACACTTGATTTTATGGCACTTATGCATGCTAATAGCAACAACACTTCTATGACAATGGGCACAATATCTGAAAACATGGAAAGAGAACAGAGTCAGACTTCTTTTATATGATGATTTTTATTGCTGATTTAAAGGCCTACCAATGAGATGTAAATGTTTCAATTCAGTCAAAATCCCACTGTCTCTGGTACATATGTAGACGTTTTTGAGGGACATTGTCTTTTATTGTCAAAGCTACGAAACTAAGGGTTAAGAAGGAAACGACTGGCCACCACATTAGAAAATGTATGTTGGTGTATACACTGCATGAATTGAACAAGTGGACATATATATCATAACCGGTCATGTGATTGAGCATGTTTAGACTGGCCCAGTTAAAAAATAATAATAATAATACTAAAATTGTAAAAAAAAACAGTTTTGCGAAATGTAGGGTAAACGAGAAACCACCACAGACAGTAGTTTTTATTAGGTTAGTTTATTAGCCGTTAGTGACATGTAGACACCGCATGTAGACATCGTAGTTTTATAGAAAGTTGAGTTAATTGCGATACCGGTCACGAGTATAGAGCCGATGCGAACCTTAGCGCCGACGACCACACAGATAAAGTTCACAAAAACAATGTCTATAATTATAGATCGAAAAATGTAGATGTTTACAAACGTTAAAGCAAGGAAGTGACACAGAACAGCAAGAAAAGGGCTTTGTTTTAATCCAAATCATGTGCTAAAGAATGATGTTGGCACTCAGATAAGTAATCTAACAGCTGGCGAAGATGTTTTGGTAAGTTTTTATTTAAAAAATCTGCAGGCTTATTACTATTTAAATATTTATGATATTAACATTTTTTTAGCTGATCACCTCCCTGATAATTCCTTTCATTCATGTCACGTGATGTTATTTTTTTACAAATTTTGTTAGAACCCATACATATAATTTATATTTGTATATACATTTATGGTAATTAATGGTCATTGCACTAAAGTAATCTAATACTAATAATTAGTGACAGGTATTTTAATAGAATGGTCCAGCTGTGGCATTTTTTTCCATTTTGTTTTGCAGTGAAAAAATCAGCCTACCATATCTATCTTTTGTTTAAACATTTTTTTATTATTATTGTCATCTCACTGAAAAAAATCGTCACAACTGGGTTAATCTAATATTTTAAATATTACTATTGAAATTAGTCTTCATTTATTCGCTGGAGGACAAGCAAGGTTTTTTTAAAAGTCAATTTTAACAATTAATTTTTCATGAATATACAACATGAAAAAACATTAATTTTAACCCCAATTAAGATGTATTCATCTAATACCTATTTTATAATCTATGTCTAGGTTCATACCCTATTTGTGGAACACGTAGCTACGCTATTCTTTCACATCTAGTTGTGCTTGCTAAACATTTGGCTTTTGGAAATGTAGAATCTATTTCAAGACAGCTACTTAGTATGGGTTTGTAGGGGGAATTCAAAGAGAAATAGCTGGACTATGTTCAATCAAAGATCAGTCAATACTGAGACAAACAGATGCCTGTTGTCTCTCTAGGTATTGGAAACAACAGTTCAAAATCCATCACAGAGAAGAAATAATTCTAAGAAAGGTGATGAATTGGTTCCTATGATGTTGAATGCTGGAGCACAGTTAATTTCTGCATATAACCGGGATATGAAAACAGTTAGAAAAATAAATAGTGTTGTTCTGAACAAAGGGGACACTAAAAAACTGCTTTCACACGTGTCTCTGGAATGCAGATTTGTATGACTTATGAATCCACCAATAACAGGGAGTATTTTGGACAGAATTTCAATTTGCAATTGATATCTTGGAAAAAAGATGTAGAATATGGGACCAGAAGAGAAAGAGAGTTAGAAGAACAGCTGAAAAACTTGTCCAATGAGTCGAACAAACACCCGATGTTGTTTTTCAAATTAGTGCAGTGGAGGAAGAATTGAAAACACTTCGTGGTTATTTACATTCAGTTTATTCATTCACTGATGACAACGTTGATATACGACAAGTTTGTCAAAAATTACTTCCAGAAGCTTAATATATACAAATGCTAATATATACAAATGCTAAATAGCTATGTCGCCCAGCTACCCCCATCAATTGGAATAATGGCACCAGTCATTTGATCCGCACAGGGAGAGCACAGGAAAGCCGCAAGTTCGGCAATCTAAAATAAGATGCACAGACAATGTTACGCATTGCGGAATGCCGCACATATGGAACATATCTTATAAACACATGGCATATCATGGCGAACTTAATCTATATGATGAGAATATCACCTCTTAGTATTAGTATTCATGGCATAGTACTGCATGAAAGACAATGTTATTTTTCACAGAAATTTTCAAATACGTCACACAATATTCTAAAATTAGTGGTTACCTGTTCTGATTTTATGAACTGCCCATTTGGATTAGTTTTCTCTAAGAATTGTTTCTGTAAAGGAAATGTTCAAATTAAGACATGTAGCATATCATTTTTTATAAGTAAACAAATGCGATTGCGATATTGAACTTATTAACAGCTATCCATTATATTGGAAATGACATTCTTGTTGTACGCTCGACAACGCAATTCAAAATATTTATACTGCCATATTGTATTTGTTTTAACATAAATTATCTTACTGTTACTGTCTCATACGTGAGACCCGTTGTTTCTGCCAATTGTCTGAATTCTGCAATAGCAACTAAAACATAATCATACATGTTAGCCAAATTACCTCATGATTCGCTCAACTTACTTATTCTCCACTACACTGCTCTAAAAGAAACATCTATACCATGATTATATCTTAGAGCTAAAGTGGCATGTGGCCAACTTCTGTGGCTCGTTATACATTCACAACCATATTTTGAATATCATTGATCCATTTTATTCTACACATTCAGCTCCATTACCAACTAAACTATTAGTAAAACATAGACTCACGTTGAGTTTCGACAACAGCTGGGCATATTGCGTTACATGTCACACCAGTGCCAAATGTATCATTTGCAACTGTCTGGAAAATAAATGTGTCAACCCCAGTTGTATTTCACAATAATGTATATAAAATACAACATGAATAACATAATTAGCACATTAGTTCAATAAACTCCAGTTTGTTTATTATATTGTATTTATGATAACAAAACAATATGAACCTAAGATTTATTTTATATGTTATATTGAAAACATATAATGCATTTGTTTATTTTGTTATACCTTTGTTAATCCATTGAGACCATGCTTTGAACAGACGTATGCCGGATAGAGCGTGATAGTTTTCTTACCGAATATTGAGGAGATATTGATGATACGGCCCCAACCTGCATAAACACATATATGATTCCTCAATTATTTGTAATTATTTACTTAATTTATTTTACTTTTAATGTGTCAGAGTTGTTGTAACCGTATAGCCTACATCAAAATAACAGTAACAAATCAGATTGCGTTGATATTGTATTGTATATATTTAACATTGTAACACAAATAAAATGATCTCAGAAGTACAGTGCATATTATAAATGATTGTAACCTAGATGATGAGACCTATGAAAAAGGAAGAAAACAGAAATGTGGCCACAAGACCAAACCCAGTAATCTGATAGCAGTAGTGCTAACATGTTGTTTAATTACGTTATAGTGCAAGTTTCACAAGCATGAGACATACGATTTAAACAACAATTGCAATTTACATACCTCTTTTTTTCATCTCCCCAATAGACAGGCGTATCAGATCAAATGGTGCTGTTAAATTGACTTTGATCACATCATCCCAATTTGCAACAGGGTATTGCTCTATAGTCGCTGCTGTCCCTCCCCGCCCTGACAATTAAATAAAAACAAAAAATGCATTTTCATAGCGTCATTGTATAAGTCACATGAGTTATCTATGTGGTTGTGGTGTTTCAGGTTCAATCAATAATATCATCATATATTATTCTGCATGACACATATGTTTAGATGGAGCAGCCCCGCAAATTTAAGTCAATCGTGTATATGACAATGATATCAGCATTTAAGTAATACATTAGATTTTTCATGTATAAATCAAAATTACAGCGTCATTTTTGCGGTTATCCCCGTTATTGCTCACCTGCTTAGTTCCTTACCTGCATTGTTTACTAGAACATCGACACCCCCTGGATGAATTTCTTCAATACTTTTGCAAAGTTGTTCAATCTCTGCACGAATCATTAAGTCAGCTTTTAGGTAAAAAACGTTCACTTCAAACTCACTGAAACATCGCAATATG